TTATTATTCTAGTTTTTGAAACTCCATCTCCTAATATTAGAAATAATCAGTCAATAATAAATTTGGCATATAATGAGTGATTTCATTAAAGTAGAATTTCGTTGTTGAATGAGGTTATAAACTTATTATGTTTCCTAATTTTAAGTTGTATTGGAATTTATTTTTATTATGTTGGAATTTGACATATGTTTAATTTTTTGGGGGGGGATTTTATAATTGTGCTATAATTATGGTTCCAATTTACTTGTTTCTTGTTATTTCACATTGCATGTTGTTTATTTTTTAGTTAGAATTGATAGATTAGTTTTGTCAAATATTTGCATAATGTTATGACATTATATTTATAAATATTAATTTATTTTATCAAACATGTGTTCCACGATGTTCTTACAAAACATATTTTTTTAGTTGTATAATTAATTAAACTAAATACTATTAATTTGAAATATATATATAAATTATTTTTACAATATTAGTTATAAATATATGATTACCAATTAGTGTATATTCTAGAAAAAATATGCATCTTAAATACCAAATCTAATATCATTTATACTTATAAAAATTATTTATAGGCATTATTTTAACTTTTAAGTTTTGATAATTCATTTAAAATTTTATCTAACTGTGTAATTATACTTGTACAACCAAACAATACGCTTGTAATTATACTGTAATTATATTGTGACAAGCAAACAGGTCGCCGTAATTACTAGACTATGTAATTACTTGACTTCGTAATTACTATCCTATTAATTACATCAATTCCAATTATCGGATGACTTTACAAACGTACCCTAAAAGTATAGCTACACCTTACATGTAGTTTTTTCTTTCTTTTCGGTTATCAATATCACAACAACCGTGGTCAATAATGAGCCCTCTAAATAATTATATATTCACTACTCACAAGCTAGCTACGTGGATCAATTTTTCTGCTATATTAGTTTACTCCTAATATTGTAACCATTTCACCGAACTGTCATATAATACATTTATGTATTCGGTATATCCATCTAACACCATACTGTAATATAATAAATAAATATCTTATCCAATCCAAAGTTCAGTAGATTTGATTTTGATAGTATACTCTAAACCAAGAAATATTTTTATATTTTCATTTCTTGTAATGCATACGCCATAGACGGATTCCCCGTTACGATATCGAATTCATATGAGCTCAGTATATATTTTGGGTGTGGAGCATAATAATGAGTTCAATACTAAAAACCTTAAATGTTGAACTTATGATAGAGTCTAAATCTTAGATCCGCCTCTGTTTCGGAAGAGTATTTATTTTAAAAAATACTCTAATTTTTATATAGGTAATCAAAGGTGAAGAAGATGATTTTTCGAGTTTTATTGGGGTTGGAGGAGAATGCTATACTAGTATCTGTTTTTAATTATTATGGGTGTTAGATTTAAAAGTAATTAAAACTGTGGAGACAATAAATATATAAGAAGAAATGTTGCCCTAGCCTTGAAGCATTTGTATTTGAATCGTTGAATGGTGGTATATATTGTTCAAAGTCGGATCAAAATTAAAATTCTATGAGTTTAACCATTAAGGTTCTTAATATTGAACTCACTTTTGTAATCTTAGTAGATTTTTATGTATAAATTTATATTTCGCGTCAAAAATACTGGTGTCAGATGAATCCGATGCGAAAGCACGACATGTCGCCATGATTGTCTTAATGGCTAATTCAACAAGGAATTTAATGTACAATTTATATATGGTTGCTATAAATAGTGGGCATTTGCATGAACTAGAACTAGAACTTGCAACTTAGACAGAAGCAAAGCAACAAACAATATAATGGCTATGAGAAGAACTCTCTTTAGCTTCTTCTGCTTTCTTTTTATCAATTTGTTTGCTTTAACGAGCTCTGCTGCAATTCCAGCAAAACGGTTTTATGGTCCATTTAATGAAACAGCATTTCCTTTTGACTTTGTTTTTGGTGCTTCATCTGCTGCTTACCAGGTAAATATATTAGCTTCAATTCACTCTAGATATACACACGAAACATGGTTTATGCGTATGTTACTCGAACTCTTAAAAATGGTCGTAGGGTACTGCATGTGAGATCCTTCAAAAATAGTGTGTTTTGGAGAATTTGCATGCGATAGCAATTTTGAAAAGTACGAGCAATATAAGTATATACATAACACAATAATAGTGTATTGAAGCCAAATATATTAGCTTCAATATTACCTATATTGCTCGAACGCTTGAAAATGGTGGCAGGGTGCGTGCCATCCTTCAAAATAGTATATTTTTGGAGGATTCGGTTGCGGCAGCAATATTTTTAGAGAGTCCGAGCGACATAGGTCTATACATAACACATACTCCCTAGCTCCGTCCCAATTTATGTGATGATATTCGAATTTCGACAATTTTCTTTTACCACGATTTTTTTCGTATGTCTGTCAAATATTCTGAATTGTTAAATTATTATGACTTATGCATAGTTTCTAAATATGTAAATTTTATTTCAAAGAATTTGAAATATTTATGTCCGAATCAATACCGAAAACTAATCAGTTTAATTAATCCTCGTACTCCGAAAATGTTCATATAATTTGAAATGTATGAAGTATTTGGTGCAATTTTAATTGATTTTTCTACATAAATTTATGCTCCCTACTAAAAGTATTACACTCAGATGAACCCAGTATCGCAACCCAACGTATGTCTGTAGACGTGTACATACATACATATATATGTGGACAAGCATGCATCATCCATCAATTTCCATTCTTTCTCATTCCTATCCCACCACACAACCACATCAATTCCCATCACTTTTTTGCGATATGGTCTCCTCTTATCAAGATCACAAATTGGCATCATTGGATACCATTCAGGTTTCAATTCCCATCACTTCCAACCAAGAGGTTGTGAGTTCGAGTCACCCCAAGAGCAAGGTGGGGTCTTGATAGTGAGTTCGAGCCATCCCAAGAGCAAGGTGGGGAGTTCTTGGAGGGAGGAAACCGAGGGTATATCGGAAACAGTCTCTCTACCCTAGGGTAGGGGTAAGGTCTGCATACACATTACCCTCCCCAGACCCCACTAGTGGGATTATACTGGGTTGTTATTGTTGTTGGATACCATTCAGTATACCAATCAAATTTTTCCTCTTGGTTCTCATATTCAGTTTCGTCATCAAATGGGGTTCTTGATTCAGTTCAGATACTTTAAGAAATGGCAGTGAAAAGCTTGAATTTTATATTTTGGCTCTGAATTGAGGGAAAACATGAGATGGAATTTACATTAATTGGATGATTAATATACAAGTTTGGTTTGTCATATATGGTTTTGGGAAATGATCTAGTTGAGTAGTTCAAGTTGAGTACTTGAAATGGTGTAAAAGAAGAAGCTTTGAAAGCTTGCATGGCTGATTCTTGAAATTGTTTAATTAAAACTCAGTCTGTTATTGCAAATGCAGAAGAAATTAAAGTGGTGACTGACAGAAGTAGAAAAGTACTTTGTGGCTTTCAACAAAACAACACATTCATGTTGTTTGTTAGACTCATACTAGATAAGTGTGTCATCTTCTGAAATTAATCTATGGCCAGAAGTTTTAACTGAAAAAAAAAAAAAGGCAAAAACGAAATAGACAAAACAGTAAGCTTGTAATTATATTGTAATTACATTGTGACAAACAAATAGGTCGTCGTAATTACTAGACTGGCCCAGGGCCTAGCTCAAGTGTCAAAGGGTGGTGAATTTGTGTCATAGGTCACAGGTTCAAACCCCCACACCATGCAAAACAAAACCTGATATTTAAGTGGAGAAGGGTAGAGGGGCGAGCCCATTATCCACCGAGTTTCGAAGGTTGCGGTTGGTCCAAAAGATCGACCCCAAACGAATTTCTCGGTCATCAAAAAAAAAATTAATTACTAGACTATATGATTACTAGACTGCGTAATTATTATCCTAATAATTACATCAATTTTAATTATATAGTGAAAACGGACCCGGAAAGTATCGCTACACGTTTTTCTTTTGTGTTATCAATATCACGACAACCGTGGTCAATAATGAGCCCTCTAAATAATTATATATTCACTACCCACAAGCTAGCTACGTGGATCATTTTTTCTCCTATATTAGTTTACTCCCAATATTGTATCCATTTCAGCGAACTGCCATATAATACATTTATGTATATCCATCTAAAACCATACTGTAATATAATAAATAAATATCTTATATTGGGTTGCTCTAGTGGTGAGCACCCTCCACTTCCAACCAAGAGGTTGTGAGTTCGAGTCACCCCAAGAGCAAGGTAGAGAGTTTTTGGAGGGAGGGAGCCGAGGGTCTATCGGAAACAGCCTCTCTACCCCAGGGTAGGGGTAAGGTCTGCATACACACTACCCTCCTCAGACTCCATTAGTGAGATTATACTGGGTTGTTGTTGTTGTTGTTGTTGTTGTTGTTGATACGCCATAGACGGATTCCCCGTTACGATTGAACTTATGATAGAGTTTAAATCTTAGATCCGCCTTTGTGGAAGAGTATTTGTTTTAAAAAATACTCTAATTTTTATATAGGTAATCAAGGGGAAAAAGATGATTTCTCGAGTTTTATTGGGGTTGGAGGAGAATGCTATACTAGTATCTGTTTTTTATTAATATGAGTTTTAGATTTAAAAGTAATTAAAACTGTGGAGCCAATAAATATATAAGAAGAAATGTTGCCCTAGCCTTGAAGTATTTGTATTTGAATCGTTGAATGGTGGTATATATTGTTCAAAATCGGATCCAGAATTTAAATTATATAAGTTTAACCTTTAAGGTTCTTAACATTGAATCCACTGTAATAATCTTAGTAGATTTTTACGTATAAATTTATGATTCACGTCAAAAATATGGGTGTCAGATGAATCCGATGCGAAATCACGACATGTCCCCATGATTGTCTTAATGGCTAATTCAACAAGAAATTTAATGTACAATTTATACATGGTTGCTATAAATAGTGGGCATTTGCATGAACTAGAACTTGCAACTTAGACAGAAGCAAAGCAACAAACAATATAATGGCTATGAGAAGAACTCTCTTTAGCTTCTTCTGCTTTCTTTTTATCAATTTGTTTGCTTTAACGAGCTCTGCTGCAATTCCAGCAAAACGGTTTTATGGTCCATTTAATAAAACAGCATTTCCTTCTGACTTTGCTTTTGGTGCTTCATCTGCTGCTTACCAGGTAAATATATTAGCTTCAATTCACTCTAGACATACACACAAAACATGGTTTATGTGTATGTTGCTCGAACTCTTGTGTACGTTGGATCCTTCAAAAACAGTGTGTTTTTGGAGATTTGCATGCGTCCGAGCAATATAAGTCTATACATAATACAATAATAGTGTATTGAAGCCAAAAATATTAGCTTCAATATTACCTACATCGCTCGAAAGCTTGAAAATGGCCGCAGGGTCCGTGCCATCCTTCAAAATAGTGCATTTTTGAAGGATTCGGTTGCGACAATAATTTTATAGAATCCGAGCAACATAGGTCTGTACAAAACATATACTCCCTCCGTCCCAATTTATATGATGATATTCCGATTTCGAGAGTAAAATCAGTATTTTCTTTGACCATGATTTATTCATATGTCTCTCAAATATTCTGAATTGTTAATTGTTATTCTTTTTTGGTCTATACATAACACATGACTTTCCAAGAAGTAAAAGATTAACTTCTTTTTTCTTTTTCTTTTTCTTTTTTTGTTTAATGAACTGTCAGATAGAAGGAGAAGCTCTTAAAGGAGGCAGAGGACCAAGTATATGGGATACTTTCACTCGCCAACACCCAGGTCTCCGATCTCAAGCATTAAGATAAATTATTTAATCAAAAGGGACGATAAAATCATTTAAAATTTTAATATAAGAGATATGAATGAGAATTAGTTGAACCCAAAACAAATACCGAGCACTAAATGGGTGAAAAAAGCTCCATATTTTAGAATCAGCCATTACTTTATTTTACAAGGGAAGTGATTTTCAACGTTTAATTAATGATAACTAATGCAAGTAGCTTTCATAGATAGAAATTAATATTATAGGTAGTCAATGTTTGATAGGTATTAATTTTGTCTACAGTAACTTCCACTTGTCACATTTAATATGTCAGGATATTTTACAATACTATTATCTTTTTAAAAAATATTTTATAATTAGTTATTTTATAAGAAAAGTATGATTTATATTATATTTATGTAGTTTTTATGCTGAGCAATTTTCTCCGAAAATGCAGAAAAGATCTTTGACCGTTCGACTGGAGATGTTGCTGTTGATTTCTATCATCGGTATAAGGTATGAACAACATTATACTTTTCCATTTTTTTTTCTTTTTTTACTGTATATATTTTCCTAAATATTGAAATATATTGAGCACTATAATAGGAAGATATTCAATTGCTTAAGGAACTGGGATTCAAAGCTTTCAGGTTGTCTATCTCTTGGTCTCGGATTTTACCATGTAAGAATACTTTCCTCTATATATATATATATATATATATATATATATGATACGCTAATCTAATATGAGTTTAAGTTATATATACTATCTGTATAAAAAAGATAATGTGCTGATATTTTTATTCTACTATTTAAGATGGGAAGGTAAGCAAAGGAGTGAATCCAGAAGGCATTAAATTTTACAATAATGTCTTCAACGAACTTATCTCTAATGGTAATTACAGCTATCTCTCATTTTCTTCTTCTGATTTTATCCATTTCAAATCATTTAATTTTGTTTCTAGTTTTAATTTAATTGCTTTTCTTTATAGGTATTACTCCATTTGTGACTCTATTCCACTGGGACACACCACAAGCCCTTGAAGATGAATATGGAGGGTTTATGAGCTCACAAATTGCGTAAGTCACAATGCAAACAAAATTAATTACTGAGAGACGTATGCGGAGCCGGTATTTGAAAATTATAAACGGGCTTGGAATTCTAGTCTGTTTTAAGTTACTGGTTTTATACATATTTAATGAATTTTTAAAATTACAGGGTTTGGAGTAAAGGTATTGGGTTCAGACTAACCCGTAACTCGTAGTCTAGCTTCGCCATCAATCCCTGTTATTAAAAGATCTTCAGCAAAATATACATAGGCGGAATCAGGACTTAATATTTATCATGTATTATGAATTTGCTAGTAAACTCATAATTCGTCTTAGTTACTGGGTTCGAATTAAATTTTTTTTATATATTTAATAAATTTACTTGCTACTACTTCTTTCTTTTAAATATCTTGCTACTACTTCTTTCTTTTATATATTAAATATTTTTCCTTGAGGGGCTTCAAAAAAGAAAAAAGTTAAAAAGGTTGTAGCTAATGGGAATAGAACCAATGACCTTACAAAAGTTTTGAACTACTTTGACCACTAAGCTATGCTTTTGGATTATGTAATATATAGATATAAAAAATAGATTTTGCCTTATATATACAGTATAATTTTTCGGCAAAGGGGGTTCGGGTGAACACCCTTCTGCCCCCCTAAATCCACCATGGGGTAAGGTGTGCGTATACACTACCCTCCCAAACTCCACTTGTTGAATTATTTTATTGTTGTTCTACTATAAATATAGGATCTAAGCGATTACAGTTGCTGAATCCATCCGAACCTATATCTAATACTCTAACTCCGCCCCTAAAAATATATATCAGAAAGTAAATTCGAGATGTGTACTCATATTGTTGGTGCATGAATTCAGGAAAGACTATGGTGATTTTGTGGACATTTGCTTCAAAGAATTTGGAGATAGAGTGAAGTATTGGATCACTTTGAATGAGCCACTCTCTTATAGTATGAATGGATATGCAAAAGGAACCTTTGCACCAGGAAGATGTTCTAATTTTGTAGGAAATTGTACAAAGGGTAACTCTGGAACTGAGCCATATATTGTGGCTCATAACTTGCTTCTTGCCCATGCAACTGGTGTTAAGGTGTACAAAGAAAAATATCAGGTTAGCTTTTTTAATTACTTGATCTACTTTTATTTTGGTTTTCACTCGGTGTCCAGACTAATCTAGATTCATACCAGAAAGTTCCATTTTTTGCCGGATTCGTGCCGGGAATAAGTCCCATTTTGGAGGGTTAAGAGCTCCCTATTAAATGCGACTCCATACCCCAAGATTCAAACTCGAGACTTTTGGTTCATAAATCACTTAAAAATATTGATATTATTTTCCGTACCCAATCTCATATTTTCGTTTTATTTTTTGAAATAATTGCAGAAAACTCAGAAAGGCCAGATAGGAGTTACTTTGGTCACTCACTGGTTTGTGCCCAAAATCAACACACCTCAAGGACTCAAGGCTCCAATAAGAGCTCTTGACTTTATGCTTGGGTGGTACGTAAATTTTTATTGTCTCATAATTTCTACACACCATGTATGTCACCTTCTAAGATAGTGACATGTAAACTATGTGGCTCTGAACTTTTCGAAAATATTGTCCGTTCATGTCGGATCCTCCAAAAGTGGTGTTATTTTTTAAGGATCTGACACAAGTGTGGCAGCTTTTGGAGAGTTCGCAGTAACATAGCGTGTAACTGTATTCTAACAAATACAGAGTTTAAACTAAAATTACTAATTTCGACCGAACCCGTACTAACCTTCTAGGTCTGCCTCTGCTTTTCAGGTTTTTGGATCCAATAACATATGGTGACTATCCAACAAGCATGAAAGCTATTGTAGGGCGTAGGCTCCCAAAATTCACACCAGAGCAATCAAAGTTAGTGAAAGGATCAATGGATTTCTTAGGAATTAATTACTATACTACATATTATGCTTCTCCTATGCTTTCCATCAATAGGCTTAACCTCAGCTACACCACAGACAATCTTGCTGATCTTACAAGTAAGCCAACACATTCATCTATCATCCTCGTCGCAAGCATGGGCGGATTCAGGATTTGAAATTTACTTGATTCTACAACAATCTTTTATATATATATATGTATGTATATGAATAAAACTATTGGGTTCACGTGAATATAATCGACACTATAAATTCACCTATGCTTGCAAGTTTCCAAAATATTCAAGTTCAGTTTTAATAATTATTTATCTATTTTCTTTCAGCACAAAAGGACGGAAAACCTATTGGCACACCGGTATTGTTTTTCTTTCTCTCTTTTCTCGTAGTTGAGCATTTTCTATAAAACTGTTAATATGGGCTTGGCTCGGCCCGCATTCCTCTTAGGTCTTGATTGAGCTGGTCATTTTAAGACTAATCCAAATGGCGGGCTAGACCATCCTAACCCGTCAAATTCCAAAACCTATACAAGTTGGGTTGGGCTGGGCCAAACCAGCTCATAATGACAGTTCTAATTTTCTTGTAGAGGTACATAAATTTAAGTAACATGCTTATATTAATACTTGTAGACTGCTTTGGATTGGCTTTTCATTTATCCAAGAGGAATCTATGGTCTTATGCTTCACATCAAGAATAAATACAACAATCCTCCCATCTACATCACTGAAAATGGTAAAATCTTAAAGATTTTTACTAGATTTACCCGCTCGATCAAAAATATTTACAACCTTAGCTAAACATTTTTAGGAGTCAAAGTTCGATATGAGACATTAAAAAAATTGAAATTAATTAATTTGCAGGAATGGCAGAAGCCAATAATAACGCATTGTCACTTAAAGAATCTCTTAATGACGACACGAGGATTAAGTATTATGAGGGTCATCTATGGTTTCTATCAAAAGCTATAAAGTAAGTTTTCTTTTCTCTTCTATATTCTTTTCTTTAGATCTTTTGTTTTTTTAAATCCTGATTTTTTGTTTTGGAATTATAAAAGTTAATCTAATTGAAGGGGAGCAAGGGTATAGTTGTTTTCATGTGACTTATAGGTCACGGATTCGAGTCGTAGAAGCAGTCACTAATGATTGCATTAAGGTATCACACCCTTTGAGGTGCGGCCGCCCCCGAGCCCAGTGTGAATGCGAGATACCTTGGAACAACGGTATAGTTGTCTCCATGTAACATCTATATATAGGTCACGGGTTAGAGTCATGGAAGCAGCCACTAATGCTTACATTAGCATAGACTGTCTACATCACACCCTTTGGGGTGCGACCGTTCTCCGAGCCCAACATATATAAATACGAGATACCTTGTGCATTGAGCTGACTTTTAATCTAATTAAGTGTTGTAATTGACAGGGATGGAGCAAATGTAAAAGGACATTTTGTGTGGTCATTTTTAGATGACTATGAATGGGATGCTGGTTTTACTGTCCGATTTGGCCTCACTTTTGTTGATTACAAAAATGGACTGAAGCGATACCATAAGAAATCTGCTTATTGGTACAAGGACTTTCTCTTGTATACCGGCAAATAAATAATCTCACTCTTCTAGTGGCTCGAACTTATGGCGAGATTGATTTTTTGTTCGAAGTTCAAGAGAAAGGAGAGGGACCACCGTCCAATAATGGTGATTTTACAAATGTATGATCACACGAGTGGCTAGTACCTTCTCGAAAATATCGAACCTGAAATTCACTTTCCATTGGACTTTTTAACTTTCAAATCAGCCACTTTTCTACATGTTCTTATTTTTGTGAATGTGTGCATGTCATTGTACTTCTGGCAGAGTTTATGTTGCTGTTGCACTTTGTGTTACAGAAAAATAATGTAATTTACTATTGTGTGTTCAGAAATAAGATTGGAGCTCCTCCTATTAGTTATACACTTGTTTGCTTATGGAAAAAAGTTTGTGTACTCCTTCCTTTTAATAAATAAACATGTGTTAGTGAGTTGGTGGATAGTTTAATCGGTAAGTAGTAAAATAAATAATGGGTAAGTGGATGAAAGAAATAAATGCCATATTCTAGATCATGAGATGGTGGCTTGGAAGAAATTATGGCTGCTATCTTGTCTTTACAGGCACTAACATGACAAATAATCCAATTTAATATTATTTTTTTGTTATGAAATAAAAGCAATATAGCAAGAGTTATGTATTTAACAAGGACTAATAATATAAGAGAATGATAACATTAGAAGAGAGGATTTATTTCTTCGTTTCAGAGTCTATCAAATAGGTTCATGATGAACCTATTTATAGAAATATTTCGTTGCTACAAAATCAATCCAAAACCTGTTATGAATACATAACCAATCTAAAACCTGTTATGGAAGATATCCATCGTTGCAAGTGGATGAATCCACTTGCAGGATTTACAACACTCCCCCTTGGATGTCTATTAACAGTTAATGTGCTTCCTTACTAAGAAAAACCCAGTGAGAAAAATCCTAGTGAAGGAAAAAGAGTACACATATCTTGTAATAAGCATTAAGGGTTCCCTCATTAAAAACCTTACCATGAAAACCCAAATGAGACAAAACCTTGGTTAAGGAAAAAAGAGTACAACGCGTATTTCTCCACCTGATAAAAATCTTATTTGATATCTCGGAGACGACACATTCCAATCTTGTATCTTAGCTTCTCAAATGTTGATGTCGGCAATGCTTTAGTGAACAAATCTGTCAAATTATCACTTGAACGAATTTGTTAAACATCTAATTCACCATTCTTTTGAAGTTCATGCGTAAAAAAGAATTTTGCTGAAATATTGTCTCCTTTAATATATCTCTCATTTAGTTGAGCTATACATGCAGCATTATCTTCATGTAATGTTATTGGGATATCGTTTCCCCAGAAAGACCACATATCTCCTGGATATGTTGAGTTATTGATCTCAACGAAATACATTCTCGACTCGCTTCATGAATGGCTATTATCTCTGCATGATTTGAAGAAGTAGCAACCATAGTTTGTTTTGTTGAATGCCATGATATGCCAGTAGCTCCACATGTGAATAAATAGCCTGTGTGAGATCGACCTTTATGTGGATCAGACAAATATCCTGCATTTGCATAACCAATCAATTGTGACCTAGATTCATTTGAATAAAATAATCTCATATCAATGGTCCCTCGCAGATATTTGAATAGATGCTTAATACTATTCCAGTGTCTTTGTGTTGGGGAAGAACTAAATCTTGCTAATAAACTTAGAGAGAAAGTTATATCTGGTCTAGAATTATTAGCAAGATACATTAATGCCCCAATTGCACTAAGATAAGGTACTTCAGTACCTAGAAGTTCATCATTTTCATGAGGACGAAATAGATCTTTATTATATCAAGCGATCTCACAACCATCGGGATACTCAATGGATATGATTTATCCATATAAAAGTGCTTTAAAATATTTTCGGTGTATGTTGATTGATAGACAAATATTTTATTTTTCAAATGCTCTATTTGTAGGCCAAGACAAAATTTTATCTTTCCAAGATCTTTCATTTCAAATTCTTTCTTCAAACATTCTACCGCCTTTGGAAGCTCTCAGGAGTTCCAATGATATACAAGTCATCAACATACACAACTATTAGGACAAATTCAGATCCAGATCCTTTTGTAAAGATACAAAGACAAATTTGGTCATTCTTGTACCCTTCTTTCAATAGGTATTTGCTGAGGCGATTATACCACATGTGCCCTGATTGCTTCAATCCGTATAAGGATTTCTGAAGCTTTATCGAACAAGTTTCCCGGGAATCTTTGTATATTTCAGGCACTTTGAATCCTTTCGGAATTTACATTAAAAATTCGTTGTCCAGTGAACCATATAAATAGGCCATGACAATATCCATAAGACGCATGTTTTTTTATTTGCTGAGGCGATTATACCACATGTGCCCTGATTGCTTCAATCCGTATAAGAATTTTCATCAAGTTTTTTTATTTTTATGAATTGCTAGACTGATAAGATACCTGAATGTGCTTGCATACACCACAAGATAATATGTCTCTATATAACTAATGCCAGGATATTTATGAAAAGTCTTGTGCCACAAGTCGTCTTTATATTTATAGACTTGATTTTGCATTTCACCTTTTGCACAAGAACATATATGTACTGTCACAACCTAAACTAACCTCTGTCGTGATGGCGTCTATCGTGGAACTAGGCAAGCCGACTCATTTTCAAAACAAACCGATATTTTTATTTCAAAGATAATTTCAAGGTTATTTAACATAAAACCTCCATTTAAAGAGTTCAAATCAAAGAAAACAGAAGTGCGGAAAAGAAAAGCCCGACATCGGGGTGTCACTAGTCATGAGCATCTACTACAATCTGTCTAACAATATCAAGGCTAACTCAGCCTGAAAAATAACAAAATATAACTAGAGGAAGATAAGAAGGAGAAGAGCAGAGGTTGTGATCGTCAAACAGCTACCTTGCTATCTCCAAGAAAAAACTGCAACCAGAACACTCAATAACTGCTACCGTGTCCAGCTACACCTGAATCTGCACACAAGGTGCAGGGAGTAACGTGAGTATGCCAACTCAGTAAGTAACAACAATAAATAAAGACTGAGCAGTAGTGACGAACAATAAAGCATATAACGTTCATATTATGAAATCTCAGTAAAGTACAACATGCTTTAAAAATTAGTGTTTGAATAAAATCATCTCATTTAAACCCGGTTCCAATAAAAATCATTTAAAGATTTTTTTTTCCAACAGTTTTTCAAACAAAGGCTCAATGCAAAGGTGAGCAAAAATGATAAAATCATAAACATCCTCTCGGGCAAAACATCACTCATATACAGCCCCTCGGGCAAACCTCACAGTCACTCTTGCCACTCGGGCATACCTCACAATCACTCTTGCCACTCGGGCATACCTCACAATCATTCATGCGTCCCAGCACTCGGCACTCGCACTCAGTAGGTACCTGCGCTCACTGGGGTGTGTACAGACTCCGGAGGGGTTCCTTCAGCCTAAGCGTTATAATCTGCACTGACAACTCACGTGCTGCACGGACAACTCACTTGCCATAATAATAAATTATGCTGCAGGTGGGCAGCCTCGATCCACACTCATCCTCACAAATCAGGCCCTCGGCCTCACTCAGTCATAAACCTCTCAAGCCACTCGGGCATTTCAGTAAAACAGGGCATTCGGCCCAAAAACATTTATATGCATCAAAATAGAGTCATAAAACTGAGTTATGCAATAAACAAGTATAAACACGAGTGAGTATAGATTTTCAATCGAAACAATGAGAGAATGGTAAGAAACAGCCCCTAAGGGTCTAAACAGCATTGGCGCAAGGCCCAAACATGGCATTCAGCCCAATTTACAGAAATTCTTTCTAAAACATATAAGTATCAAATGGTTCAACAAAGTATGCAACTTTACAATTGCTATAGGACGGACCAAGTCACAATCCCCAACAGTGCACGCCCACATCCCCGTCACCTAGCATATGCATCACTAAGAAAGTAGAATGATACAAAAATTCGGGGTTTCATACCCTCAGGACTAGATTTACAATCTTTACTTACCTCAAACCGTAAAATTCTTATTCTGCAATGTCCTATCCTCGTGAATTGGTCTCCAAACGCCTCGAATCTGGTCATAGATAATTCGTTTCAGTCAATAAAATTCATTGGAATTAATTCCACAAGATAATAATGATTTTCCATAAAAATCCAAAAATTAGCTCAAAAATCGCCCGTGGGGCCCGGCCCACGTCTCGGAACTCGACAAAAGTTAAAAAATCCGAAAACCCATTCAACCACGAGTCTAACCATACCAATTTTACAAAAATCCGACCCCAACTCGACCCTTAAATCTTCAATTTAAACCAAGAGGGTTTTTCAAATTTTTCCCAACTCAATTCACCAACTAAATGATGAAAACAACCATGGATTTGGGTAATTTAACCAATATTGAGTCAAGAACACTTACCCCGTTGTTTTCTCTGAAAATCACCCAAAATCGCCTCAATTCCGAGCTCCAAATTGCCAATAACTGAAAATGGGACGAAGTCCAATTTTCAGAACTTAAACTCACTGCCCAGACTTTTCTTCTTCGCGAACGTGGTCAGTGCCTCGCGTTCGCGAAGCACAAAATAACTCACGTCCAAATTCCTCATTCGTGAACGCGACATCACCCTCGCGTTCGTGAAGCACAAAATGCCTCTGCCTCAATTCCTTCTACGCGAACGCGTTCACCCCATCGCAAACGCGATGCTTCATTTCCCCCTCACTACGTGAACGCGACACCCCCTACGCGAACACGTAGACCAATTGCCTGGGTGTCTTCGGCTGCTTCCTCTCTTCTTCGCAAATGCGTAACACCTCTCGCGTTCGCGATGCACACCCAGTCCACCCTTCGCAAAAGTATGCTTCTCTTCGCGAACAGGAAGAGCAAATATTGCCAGTCTCCCAGTTCCTCTTCGCGAACGCGAGGCTCAACTCGCAAACGCGATGAAGGAAACCAGATGGTGCATCAGAAAAATTCCAGTAGAGTTCCAAGTCCAAAAATCCAACCTGTTAACCATCCGAAACTCACCCGAGCCCCTCGGGACCTCAACCAAATATACCAACAAGTCCTAAAATATCATACGGACTTAGTCGAACCCTCAAATCACCTCAAACAATGCTAAAACTATGAATTACATCCCAATTCAAGCCTAATGAACTTTGAAATTTCTAATTTCTACAAACAACTCCGGAACCTATCAAATCACGTCTGATTGACCTCAAATTTTGTACACAAGTCATAAATGATATAACAGAGGTATTCCAATTTTCAGAATCGGATTCCAACCCCGATATTAAAAAGTCAACCCCCCGGTCAAACTTCTCAAAAATTAAACTTTCGGCATTTCAAGCCTAATTCCTCTACGG